CAAAGACAACATATGCAATTTTCTGACACACGCATCACTGTGCATATTCCTGAAAGAGATACATACTGTGTTAGAAATGGCTTCACATCCTTTTTTCAGCAATGGTCTGATCCATCCACTTACTTAGCACCTGTGTGTCTCCCCAGGTAAGCAGGAAAATTTTGGAAGGGTGTCCCAGAGACTCTTTTGCTGGAACCATTTCCTCTCTCTTTCCTTCTTTTCAACAAGGAGGAAAAGCAAAGACAAAAAAAGGAAGGCGCCCTTTCTTGTATATATGGATGCAACCCAAAGGTGCTTTTTCAAGAGGCAACTGGACTTCCTGGTTTTCCTTTGAAGACACTTCACTTCTCATCCAAGAAACTTCTTCAGCTCTGACTGAATAGTAGTGAATGGAAGGCCAGAGCTGAAGAAACTTCTTGGATGGGAAGTGAAATGTCTTCAAAGAAAAACCAGAAAGTCCAGTTGCCTCTTGAAAAAGCACCCTTGAGACAACCATGACTTGGATGACTGAGAATCTCCACAGACATATGGAGGCAACAATTTCTAATTTGCCCTACAGCCAATGACTGAAGACAATTTACAGTAATATATGTTAAATCAAACTAAAATAGGACAATCCCCAATTAACTGCAGCCACAAAGTTATGGAAATAACCCAGATGCAAAATCCATACCAAAAGCTCTAAGGAACAATAATGTTTTGTATCATAGGGACGAGATGTTCCATGGTCTACAGGCTGCAATCAAAATAGTGCAACTCGGGGCTCTTAATTCCTTCCAGGTAGGAACATGGACACCTCTAGGATTTACAGGTTAAACCAGCGCCATGAATCCTGCCCAGAACTATATTGATGTCAATGCTAAAGGATGGTTTAAAAAAATGGGGCAACTTTTCCCAGTTAACATATCTATCAGAGTAGTGACAAAATATATGTTATAGATCCCCTGTTAAGGAGATCCAACTAGTGGGACCAAGAAGAAGGGCCTTTTCTCCAAGGTGCCTCCCTGTAGAATACCATCACTGTGAAAATAAAATTGCCACCCACCATGACACTCTTTTGAAAGGCCCTGAAAATATTATTTTGTCAGCAGGCAGGGAGACCCCAAGGTGATACAGAGCCCATCAAGTGCTTGGTCTGATTGTTTTGTTGAGGGGGGAGAGAGTACTATGTTTTGTATTGGGGTTTTATTTCTGTAACTACCCAGTGTCACTGTGAATAAGTTGGGCAGCCACATACATTTTTAATAAATAAATAACCAATTTCTTCCACTGCTATGCTTTGGACACATTACAGCTTCTTAAGTTATTTTCAAGGACAACCTCTTACAAAGCATCATGCAATATGAAGAGAAGAAGTCTTCAGTAACTCCTTCTCATTAGGATAGGTTTACTTTTAATCTTGAGAAGAAACACAGTTTATTGGGGTGATCTAATAATCTGTCCATTTTCTCTTTCGAAGGCTTTTGTTATTTGATGCACAGTTTATGGTGTGTTTAAGAAACCAAAATTTTGAAGATTTGGTTTTGCAACCTTATGATCACTTTGTTGAGTCCCTTGTATAAGTTCCAGCTCCACCTGTTACTTTTAAAATCCATCTTATTTAGAATTAGCATTCTTGAAATCAAGATGAACACCACTGTCTTTGTGAGCAAATTTAAAACACAACAGTGCCACGTTCATCTACAACCTCCCCAGCTCTTAAATGTGCTAAAAAGCTGGAGCAAAACACTGACATTTGCACCCTGTTGTTCACCTTGTTCTCAACATTTCAGATTCTGCTATTTCTGTTGGTCTATAGAAGGCTAATTATTGTTTATCTCCTGGTAGAATACAAGCAGTATCTGCTGGAGAGTTGTGTGTTCTAATTAGCCTCTTGCTTCTTAAGGACATGCCTTCTTTTGCCAGCCTTGGTAAATTAAAAAGAAGTTATTAGATGTAGAGAGTTTTCAAAAGTAGAAAAGAGAAATAAACAAGAATATTCAACCCCAACAGCTACTCTTGAAAGTTTAGTTAGTTTACTTTATTGTCATTGCACCACCTACAATGAAATCAAACACCATCCTCAGTGCACATCATGACCATAAAAACAAACACAAACACACATCCTTCACCCTCCACACGTTGAACCAGAAACCCCTGACACTGCACCAACACTGCAGTATACAGTAGAATTCAAAAGAGCTACTGGCCTGAGATAGAGGCTGTTTTTCAGCCAATTTGTGCTTGTTTTTAATATTCTGTACCGTCTTCTGGATGGTAATAGTTCAATAAAAGGATGCCCAGGGTGAGATGGATCTTTGAGAATGTTTTGAACTTTCTTAAGGTAGCAGGAGCTATAAAGCTCTTCCAAAGAGGGGAGAGGGCAACCAATGATCTTCTGGGCAATGACATTAACCCTCTGGAGTGCTTTCCTATCTGCCCCTGTGCAATTGGCAAACCATACAGAGGTGCAGTAAGTTAAAATGCTCTCTATGGTGCAGCGGTAGAAGGTCACCAACAGTTTTTCATTCAGTTGTTGTTTTCTGAGAAGTCTCAAGTAGTATAATCTCTGCTCGGCTCTTTTGACCAGTGCTGCAATGTGAGCACCCCAGGTCAGGGGGTCTTGCTGCAACATCAAAGTTTTTTCATAAGAAAGAGAATTATCTACTGAAGCTTGTTATGAACCACATTCCTGACTTGAATTTGTTTGCAGTGTTTGGAAAAAAAAAAAGATCTGTTCAAGCAAAACATCTGTGTATTTCTTCATTTCAGCTGGAGTCCCAATGAGTTCAGTAAAGCTTTCTCCAAGGTTAAGATGTAACAGGTTGGAACCTAAAACAATGCCTCTCATAAGTGCTGTCCCTATTCCAGGTAGAACTCAGGTACACTTTTATCTATGTGACACACAATGTAAATCACTCAGATCTTAAGTCATTAATACTTTAAGTCCATAATTAAGTCTGGATATAAGGAATTGAAGATGCTCATAAATCTGATCTTATCTCACTGTTTAATGATGACAAACGTGTCATCAACATAACGTGTCCATATATCCAGACATCCAATTTACGATGGAGGAAGAGACCAATAACACGCTGGCTTTCCTGGATGTGCTAGTCAGCTATAACCCAGATGGGAGCCTTGACACAGGTGTGTAGTGTAAAACCATGAGCACGGATTGTATCCTACACAGTGAGAGTAATCACCCCATTGCACATAAAGTCAGTTGTATTCAGGCACTGCTTACAGTGGGTAGGCACTCACTGTAGTACACTGACAGCCAAAACCAAGGAATGGGTATATCTTTATCAGGTCTGCAAGTTCAATGGTTATTCCATGGACTTCATCTGAAGGTGTACTACACCCAGGGCCCGACAACTATTAAAGGTGCCAGTGGAACAGCTATGTGGAGGGTGCTCCTGTATATATGGGGAGTATCTGAAACTGCTGCATACATTCTCTTGGAGCATGGTGGTGCACAAACTGGACCAAACTCTAAGAATGCGAATAATGCACCCAAAGGAAACACTACCCAAGGAGGAGACATCTTCGGTGGTTTACTGCATCAACTGTAGAGACTGTGCAAGTAATTACTTAGGAGAAACGGTCAAGAAACTACAGACCAGAGTACATGAACACAAACTGGCTGTCTGGCACAAAGAACAGCACTCTCAGATCTAAGCACATATGAAGGAGCATAATCACACATACAGTTTTCAAGAAGTTGTTGCCCATGATAAAACGAAAGGAGGACGCCTACTAAAAGAAGCCTGGTTTTCCAACAGCAATTCCATCAATAGGCATATTGAACTATCACTGTCCTACCAGGCATTGAGACACCAGGAGAGACCCTGCAGGAGGAGCAGAGACCACTTCCCATCAGGGAGCAGAGATTGATGGTATTCCCCCACCCCTGGGCATGTGGATTCATCCTATGAAGGCACATCCAGGCCTGACCAAATACAGAGGAGCCCAGCAGAGCTGCCTCAAGCTATAACAGACAAGAATAATGAAGAACAAGCCAGCCCAACTATAAGGCCACAGGCAAAACAACAAATTGCAATAGCTGACAGGTTAACATCACTTCTTAGAGATAAGCAAAACAAGCTGGGTCTGGTAAAGGAGGAAACAATAGGAGTTAAACCTCCATTGACCAACATGACTGAAGCAAAAACAACAGAGTTAATTACAGGTGGGAGGCAGTTGGAAGGGCCTATTACGTGTGCAAGGGCTAAATTGATTAATGATATATAAAGGCATAGATCTCTGTAATGGTAGTTTAATACTCGGATGATGTCAGCAGAGACTGACGAAAGCTTAGAAAGTATAATAAATATAATTTTAGTTCCAGAGATCGCAGGATATCTGCTTCTTCTCTTACATACATACATACATACCTACATACATACACATACACACGTGTGTGGGGGGGGGGTAGTCATGTTTATGTAGTATATATTGGAGATGGTGATCTTTTGAGAGCTGTGTAACAACATTTCATTTTAATGTATGCCGATTAGTGTACGTTCAGAGTGACAATAAAGACTTATTCTAAGTCTGTTATAGTTATCAGAAACCTTCTGGCTAAGCCAGAAGACTTGTTTTAAGATCACTATATGGTGATGAGTAAAATAGCTATGTGAATATTTCTTAATGAATTTTTTGAGATTAGCAGGTACACATACACATACCCCAGAAGTACTTGAAATATTTCTGTGTGGACATTACACTTTAGCACAGGAGAAATAAGAAAGGACAGGCTGTAATAAATAAAAAATGCCCAATCATATGCCTATTATTTAATTAAATGTACAAAGACTATTAAAAGAATCATATGCCTATTATTTAAAAATATATATTATGCAACAAATATTTATCTACCCATTTCTTTTCCTGAATTATGGAAATCTCTATTTAGTAAGGTGAGATTTATTCATCTTTGCCCAGTTTTAGAAAGATGTATTTGTTTTCCTTAGGCTTTTAACAACTTTTAATGAGGTTGATATATTATTGCTCATTAGGGTTGAACAGTAGATATGCTGTTAATCTGATCTGCTATTTTGAAATGCATCTGATATATTTTTATTCTGCTGTGGAGTTTTGATCTAAAGCCAAAAATACCCAAGACATTGGAAACGGCTTGACATCAAAATCATTTAAGGAGGAAAAAAGAGAATGCACAAATTTAGATTCCTGCTGCACTATTTTATCATTCTCCTATAAATATTGTCAGGAACATTTAATCACCTACTCTTGCCCTGAATATGTATAGCAATAGCACTTAGACATATACCACTTTTAAGTGCTTTAAAGCCCTCTCTAAGCAGTTTACAGAGTCAGCATATTGCCCCAACAATTTGGGGCCCCATTTTACTTACCACAGGAGGGAACAGGAGTCAACCTTGAGCCTGGTGAGATTTGAGCTGCCAAATTGCAGGCAGCCAGCAGTCAGCAGAAGTACCCTGCAGCATTGCACTCTAACCACTGCGCCACCATAGGTCAAATGTTCTCAGGAGAAACAGTCCACTTCTAGTCTTCAAATAAGAATCTTCCACAGATCAGTTGATGAAGTGAGCTGTGGGTAGATCCTATATTATTTCCAGTCTGCTACCCAGTACTGTATAACTGTATAAGTATCCTTCTTTGGAATCTGAGAATTTCTACAGACATTCTTGGTGGGAATTCAATGATCTTTTAAAATTCTGTTCATTGAATAACTATGGTAATAAATGCAACCAGTTGGAGGCCTAACTCTCATTATGGACACAGTGGTAGGAGAGACAAGGAGAAATAGAAAAATAGGATCCATGTTGCTAACAGTTTTATGTAGTTTTATAAGGTTGGCGCTAAGAGGCATCTTGACATAGCAGGATGTCAGAACATTGTAAAACAAATACCATGGATCTGAACTTGGAATCACAGGAGCCATTGAAAGAAAACAAGCTGCCATAAATAATCAAACAGATAGATCCCTCTTGCAGATATCACTAAACAGTCCCCAAAGTGACATAATTATGAAGAATCACCAGGGACTTTACAAAGATTTTATCCCAGATTTGTAAACATTTCTCTCTGCAGATATTTGAAATAAAATAATTCCAGTGCCAGATCAAATTGGTATGTGTTATGATATGTACAGAATAACCCTTGAGTAACAAGGATATGCATGCGGAAATGTTTATGAGAGTAGTTACGAATAATTATTCAGTCACACACAGATACATTAAATTAAGTTAAAGTTTACTTTAAGGAATAGCACAGTCCAATAAATGGTCCAGGTCATATACGTTTTACAGTCCAAAAAATATCCAATTACAAAGTCTTCTTACCAGTAGCCTTTGTCATTTCCAGTAAACAAAATATCAAAGTATAAGCACAGCATAAATACAACAAAGAACCTTAGATAGCAACAAAATGTCAGAGAGACAGATGTCAGAGAGAGCACGCTATGATCTCTAGCTCCCTCTTATGGTAATTTGCAATACAATCAACCAATCGGAATATAGTATAAATCAATACAGTGATTTTGTTGGTTTATATATTGCCAACCCAACTAATTGGTGGACAAATTCCTAACATTCTCCCCTTTGGGTAGGTCAATATATAATACATTACATCTTTAAACCATAATTCTCACAGCACTCTTTATGTTTAATTGCACCTTGAGCTTTCATGAAATGATCTGCAATATTATGTACAGTCATGCAGCATTCTAACGAAATTAATTTATTTTGAACACACTGTCCAATGTTCAAGTATCTTAAATCAGTATGTTTAGACCTTGTTTTAACAGCTAAATTAGTAGTCATACTAATTGCAGATTGATTGTCTTCATAAACAAACGGATCACGTATGGTAATTCCAATATCAATTATGTACACATTAATAATAAACATGAGAATTCTGCTTCCATAGTGGATAAACTAATATGTTGTTGCCTAATAGACTTCCATCCTATTAAAGCATTACCTAACATTACCACTATATCTGATGTTGACTTACGAGTCATTATATCAGTAGCAAAACTTGCATCATCATATGCAGTTAATACTAATTCATTACTTGGTTCTAAATATAATGAATAATTGATTATGTGTTTTAAAAACCTAATTATTTGCTTAGCTGCTTGCCAATGTCTTTCATTTGGTTCAGCATTATACCTTGCCAATTGGTTTACGCTGTAAGATATATCTGGTCTCAACCAATTACTCAGATATGATAGATTACCAATTAAGGATTGATATATTTCCTTATTAAACATAGGAGTTTTGATATCACTATATGTAAATTCCTTACTCATTGGTCTTAGCAGATTTACAATGCTCCATGTTATAGCATTTTAATAATTGGTTAATCTTCTTGGCTTGTGAAATTTTAAAACCTTTATTCGTTTTCACTATATCAAGACCCACATAATGCTTAATTTCCCCTAAATTTCTAATCCTGAACTTTTTCTGTAATCTATAAACAATCATTTTCTTCTTGTTCAGTTTTAGTTATAATTGCTATGTCATCCATAAATAGCAGTAATAGAGAAATTAAACCAACCTTTTCTCTTTAGAACAAACAAAGATCAGCTATACCAGCTTCAAAATCTATTGAAACTAATTACTTTACAATACATTTATTCCATTCATAACTGGATTGCTTTAGACCATAAAGACTTTTCTTTAATTTCCAATAATCAGTTTTTCCATCATCCTTTAAACCTAATGGCTTTTTCATATAGATGGTATGTTGTAAAGGTGCATGTAGATGTGCAGTTTCAACATCTACACGGTTTATTTTACATTTATTCTTAGCTGCCCATACTAATGCTGCTCTCAATGTATTTGCTCTCAGACTAGGTGCAAACACTTCATCATAGTCCTTATCTGACTGAGCAAATCCTTGAGCAACTAATCTTGCTTTATGGGTAATAGTCCCATCCAAACCAGTCTTTATCTTATACACCCATTTGCAACCTATTGCACACTCAGGTGGTGGTAACTTTACATCCTGATACACCTCTAAATCCTTTAATGATTTTAACTCCCTATTCATAGCTTTCTGCCAAGCTACCTGATCCTTTGTAGGATACAGTTTTATTTCATTGAAGTTAGAAGATTCTATATTAACCTGACATACAATGCTTGCTTGAAATCTGTCAGGTGGACATCTCTCCCTAGTTGACCTCCTAGGCAATTCAGTACATGTTGTTGGAGTGTCCTTTTCCTTTACCTCCCCTATCAAATCCTCATCTTCTACAGTCATAGAGTGTTCTTCTATTGATAATTCCTCCATTGTGGATTCATCCACTATCTTATCATCAATATTATTATCATTAGGATTATTGGTAAACAATGGAGTCTCAACAACAGCACTATCCTGTATCTTATTATATTCCTGTTCAAGCTTTCTCCAGCCAACATGCTCCAGAAATTTAGCACTTGCACTGCAATATACATTAGTAGTACCTAGCTCCCAAAATCTAAATGATCTATGATTGGCTTCATAACCTACAAAATATAATTGTCTCACTCTATGTTGTCCCTTTTGCCTTACTTGCATGGCAATATGAACCCATGCTGGGGTTCCAAATGTATGTAAATAACTGAGATCTGGCTTTTTTCCATTCCAACAAGGAAATGGTAATTCACCAGTCATTGAATTCACTACATTATTCAAAACATGGTTAGTACACATTATTGCTTCACCTCAAAGTTTCTCTGATAAACCAGAATCTGAAATCATAGTCCTAGCCATAGCCTGTAATGTTTGTCCTCTACATTCAATATATGAGTTATGTTGTGGTCTATAAGGAGCACAATGCCAGCTTTCTGTAACATGGCTTCAAATTTTCTATTGGTAAATTCAGTACCATTATCTGTTACTAAGCTAATAACTTTCTGTTTCTTTTTCCTTTCAGCAAATTTTAGCCAGTTTACAAAATGCTGGTATGTTTCCATCTTCGTTTTGATTAAATAACAGAAACCATATCTGGAAAAATGATCAATTATACTTAATATGCAACAGGCTCCACCTCAACTAGGTTTCTGAGGTCCAATAATATCAGCAAAAACAACCTCTAATGGTTCACTGGTTTTGAATCAATTTTCCCTATTTGCAGGAGTTACCTTGCTTTTTTCTGGATTGCAAGCATTGCAATTTAAATACTGTGTACAAGGGTTTAATTTTATACCATTAGATAACTCAACAGTTTTCTTTAGCATTTTGAAATTTATATGTCCCATACATCTATGGAGCAGATGAATACATTCATCATGAAGTTTTTTTATTGTCATAAACTGAGTTACATTAATTAATGGATTATCATGTATAATAAACAAACCATTATCCAATCTTGCAGTAATGCTTTTACCCTGTTTTTCAATTAAACATTTATCTCCCTGAAAGATTACAACAAATCCTGCTTTTACCATTGCTCTTACAGATAGCAAATGACATTTTAGGTATATATAACTTCAGTAAATATTCATTAATACATGAACAATATGCAATACCTTCTCCAGATGCTCTCAATTTCCATCCATTAGCTAATGATACATGCTATTTACTCTTTGTCATGTTAACAAACCTCTCTTTACTTTTAGTTATACACTGCAATGCTCCACTGTCAACTACCTATATATCAGGTTTACAGTTGTAGTTGTACTTGATATGGCTAAACTAACATCTTTATTATCTCTCTGTATATTAATAGCATTCTGTTTCTTACCCTTTTTACAGTATTTAGCTATATGACCTTTAGCCCCACAAGAAAAACATTTCCTAACCATATAGGCAGTTGAAGACAGTTTTTCTTCCTTTGGTTGTCTTTCTCTCAGTTGATTTCTATCTTGCCTTCTTCTTGACTCTTCTAACAGGCTTCCAGTTATGCCAGTCAATGTAAGTTCATCTTTGTTTAAAACTTCCAGTGAAGACACATAATCATCATAAGTTTCATTCAAAGAAGAAAGAATGGTGTAAACTTGATGCAACTCTGAGAAAATCAGGTCCTTTTCTTGTAGCTCTTGTAAAGTCCCTTTCATAAATTCTAAATGAGCTAACATATCGCCACTTTTTATAAGACAGACTCTAAACAGTTTACGTGTAAGGTGTATGTGTGCACCCACACTATCTCGAACATAAATCCTCTTCAAAATTTCCCAACACCTAGCAGCAGATTCTTCATCACGAATATGGACTAACTGCTGATCACTCAGTGTCAGTCCAATTATACTAAGAGCCTTTTCATTATCCTGGTTAAAGTCAGCTATTTCCTTTTTATCTTCATCATTCAATGGGTCCCAAGCTGTTACATTTGGTGGACTATAAACTACAGTCCATAATCCATGTTTATGCAGAAGTAGGCTGCACTTTATAGACCAGGAAACATAGTTTGTTCCATCCAACCAGGTTATTTGGGATATACTGGTTGACTGTTCTTGTGCCATTGGTAGTTTAACAATAAACCGCAATCAGCTGGCTGAATATGAAACAGTATATTCACACTGATTCTCAATATCTCTCTGGTCCCATAACCAATGTTATGATATGTACAGAATAACCCTTGAGTAACAAGGGAACATGGAAGTGCACATGGAAACATTTATGAGAGTAGTTATGAATAATTATTCAGCCACATAGAAATACACTAAATTGAGTTAAAGTTTACTTTAAGAAATAGCACAGTCCAATAAACCACTGTATTGCTGAAATCGTATTTTCTACAATCAAAGTTTGGTGCGATTAACCTTGAGTTTGTATCTATTGTTTGCTCTTGTGTTGTTATGGTTGAAGCTGAAGTATTCATTGACAGGAAGGACATTGCAATGTATGATTTTATATACTATACTTAGATCGGACCAAAGGTGGTGTAGTTCTAGGTTTTCTAGGTCTAGAATTTCAAGTCTGGTGGTATAAGGTATTCTACAATGAACAGAGGAGTGAAGAACTCTTCTTGTGAAATATTTCTAGACTTTCTCAACTGTGTTAATATCAGATACGTAATGTGGGTTCCAGACTGATGAGCTGTATTCAAGTATTGGTCTAGCAAATGTTTTGTATGCTCTAGTTAGTAGTGTAATATTACCAGAGAAAAAGCTATGTAAGGTTAGGTTAACAACTCTTAACGCCTTTTTGGCTATGTAGTCACAGTGGGCTCTAGCACTTAGATCATTAGACATGATCCAAGGTCCTTTACAGAGCTTGGATCATCAACAAGGTCTTGACTATTCAGCTTGTATTTTATTTTCTGATTTTTTTTTTGTCAATATGTAAGACAGAGCATTTATTTGTTGAGATTTGAAGTTGCCACTTGTTTGACCATTCTGATACATAGTTGTCTTTTTGAAGGGTAGCAGTATTGTCTGTGGTGTTGAATAGCTTTACATCATCAGTGAAGAGAACACAATTGATTTTAATATGATCACAGAAGTCATTTATGTAGAGTATGAAGAGAGTCGGTCCTAAACACTGCCTTGGGGGACACCACTGTTGACAGGTGCAGAATTTTATAGGATACTCCCAATTTTGACCATTTGTTGTCTGTTTGACAGGAATGCTTCTATCCAGTTATGCAGGTGTCCAGAGATACCATAAGATTTTAGTTTTAGGAGTAGTGTGTTGTGTACCACTGAATCAAAGGCTTTACAGAAGTCTATGTAGATTGTATCTATTGTTTTACCCTGATCAGGTAGTGTAGTCCATATGTTTTTGCAGTGTAAGAGTTGCAGAATACAGGATAGTTTTTTTCTGAAACCAAATTGTTTATTAGATAGTAGGTTGTTTGTCTCTAAGTGGAGGATAGTAGATTGGTTAATAATTGATTCCATGACTTTACAGGTGCCGCAGCATTGGTCTGTAATTTTGGTCTGTAATTTTCAACTAGGCTGGTGTCTCCCTTTTTGAAGATGAGGATGACTGTGGCTTGTGACCATAGTTTTGGCAAGGAGCTGGTCCTGATAGATTTTTCAAAAATTATGCTTAGAGGTTTGGCTATGGCAGTGGATAGTTTTTTAAGAAGTAGGTACATATTCCATCTGGTTCAATAGATAGAGATGGTTTTAGATTGCATAGTACTTTTTCAACATTGTCTTCTGTAAAATCAATATGTATTAGATCATTGTAGTTTTCTGTGGTTCGACTAGGAAATACTGGGTATGATCCATTGCTGTTTACAAATACTGAGCCAAAGAATGTGTTAAAGAAATTGACTTTAATAGTGTCGTCATTGCAGTCTTTGCCATTAGGTCCTTTCAGGGGTGGGATGGACCTTGAGTCTTTTAGTTTGTTGTTTACAAAATTGTAGAAAGCACAGGTGGAATTGGTGCATAGATGGTTTTCTTCTTGTTTAATGTGATAATTGGTGCATTCAGTTTTTATCTGGTGGCATAAATTTTTGTATCGGCTTTTGAAGTTGGCGAAGTGACCAGATTTGTTTTTCTGCCAAAGTGACTTATTTTTGGATTGAAGCTTCCTTAATCTGTTTTTTTCTGGTTTGGGGAGTTGTTATTGGTACATATACTTTGATGGCTCTTTTGATTTCAAGTAAAAATATGTTGTAATGGTCTTCTACAGGATTGCATCCAGAGAATAGAAATTGCCAATCAAGGGATGAGAGATCATTGTTTATAAGATCATAGTTGCCTTTTTTGAAGTTATAATTGGGGATTCCATTGTTGTGATTATTTTTGTGTGGACATATGTTTAGACAAAAGTCAATCATGTTGTGGTCACTGTTGGAAAAGGGTTCTTTAATTTGTATTCCGCAAATTGAATTCAAACTATTGCAGATGAGATCGAGGCAGTTGTTAAGTCTAGTATTGTTGGTTACTAGTTGTTCCAGTCCCAGATTTGTTACAGCATTGTAGAAGGTTGCATGTATGGGTTCAGTTTTACATTTGTTTAGGGTCCAGTTAATGTGAAGTAGATTGAAGTCACCAAGAAAGATAAAAGCGTGTGTGCAGGATGTTGCCCATGTTGGTAGTGAATTTAGCTTGTTTACATGTTCAATGTCATAACTGGGCTCTGCAACATAGTAAGAATCGGAATGTGATATTTAAGGACAGTTCACAGACCATGGTCATAGGAAGAGCAAGCTCCTGGTAACTTGGATGTTTTTTAGATGTAAGGACTTTTTATAGAACATAGCAACACCACCTCCTCTATGGATTTCATGATCTGATTGGTAAACATTATAGGAGAGATGCATTGAGCCATGTTTCACTGACAAATACGATGTTGAATTTAGCCACATTTAGTAAGAGGAGAAATTCAGGTATTTTATTCACAAGGCTTCTTGCATTGAGTAGCTTTCATTTAAGGCCAGTTATAATTGGAATTGAGGTAGTTAGGGGCATGCATGCCTAGTTTTGAGTGATGGTGGATTGGATGGGGTAGGGTTGGATGCGGAGTTGTGGGTTTTGTGACTTACTTTGATGCAATCAGCATGGTAGTCAATGTACAGGTCCTTTTCTCCATTGTCTAGAGCAGTGGTTCCCAAAGTTTTTCAGTCCGCCGCCCCCTTAGTGCTACAAACTCATCTTCGGTGCCCCCCACCCAGGGTTGGGACTCAAATTTCTGTGGGCATGGCCTAATTTGAGAGTGTGGCTTGCTGGTCATGTGACTGGGTGGGTATGGCTTGCTGGCCATGTAACTGGGTGGGCATGGCCAGGTGACTGGCAAACCAAATACAAGTTATCCTCACTTAATGGCCAGTTGTTCTAATTTATGACTGACCTCCCCAGAGCTACTTGACCTGTTTTTGGAGTTTTGATAGCTTTAGATCAGGGGCCTAAATCCCACCCCTGCCTGTGTCTGTGAGAGAGAGGGAGAGAGAGAGAGTTTGGATCAAATCTCTCTCTCCCACCAACTCCAGAAAGCCACCATCAGTCAAAATTCATATTAGTGGTCTCCAGGATTTAAAATTATAAGTTTGGTGGTCCCTGAGGTCCAAAAGTTTGGTGACCCCTGATCTAAAGGGGTTTGCCTGAAAAAGGGAAAGAGAGAGAGAAAGAGAGAGAGAGAGAGAGAGGGAGGAAGAAAAGAAAGAGAAAGGGGAAAGAAAGAAAAAGGGACAGTTAAAGAAGGGTGGATGGAAGGAAGGGACAAAAAGAAAAAGAAATAAAGAAGAAGGGAGGGAGGAGAAAGATAATGAGATATCTATTGTAGTCCAATCACCTGCTCCAGCAGGGTTAGAAGGGAGTCTGTGTGTGTGTGTGTGTGTGTGTGTGTGTGTGTGTGTGTGTGTGTGTGTGTGTTCTCTCTGTAGTTTACCAGTACATTTTGGTTTTGCCTTCTTCAGAATTGGCACTGTAATACACTGGGGAAAAGTAATTTTTAGGGTGGAGATCTGGTCCAATGGATCCCGTTTAAAGCCTCAACAAAATGTGAGAGCTTTCTGATAGTCCTGACCATGTTTCATCCACAAAACCTTTAATAGAAGCCAAAGAGGTTTCAATGTGCTGGTAAAGTTGTTTCAATGTGGAAAAGGGCCTCAGTCTAAACTAGGCCTCATTCAATCTGATGCATCAGGTCTGTCTCGCTTTCTCTCTCCTCCCTCCCTCCTTCCCTCCCTGTCAGACTGGCTTTGCTCTACTTTCCCAATGTGCCTGCGGGGAGGGCGCTTCAAATATGGATGGATAGATGGATGGATGGATAGAGAGACAGACAGGCAGACAGGCAGGCAAGCAGGAAGGCAGTCAGGCAAACAGACAGACCTTTTGGATGGATGGATGGATGGACAGACAAACAGACAGAATGCGACAGCGGCGGCACTTTTGGAAAATGGTGGTGGTGGCTTTTCCCAACGTGCTGCCACATTGGAGGTGCCAGCTCCGGAGCGGTGCTACAGTCAATGAGTAAACCTCCAGGGCTGGTGTCTCAAATGCACCCCTGCCACCTCTTAGCACCTCCCTGCCAGCCCCCCTGCCTCTTAGCACCCCCTAAGGCATCCCACCGCCCAGGGGGTGGTACCGCCCACTTTGGGAACCAATTGTCTAGACTTCTTTTGAGTTCATTGCAGAGTTCACGGGAGAAGATTCTCATCTTCTTCTCCAGCCTTCCCAGTATCTTCTCACTATAACACCTTTGATGTAGTCCATAAAAGAAGCACAGCCATGAGTAGTAACTGCATCTCTATTGTAAGGTTACATCAACAGAATCTTTCAAGTCATATGCTGTCACTATCTGGATAACAAGTGGAAGTTCTTCTTAAAGGTATTTCTCTGACTGTTAAGTCACTGAGAATTCTCCCCTTGGTTGTTTGAGCATTCTCTGGGCAGAATCTCCTCCCCTTGTCCCTCAAAGACATTCTCAATTACTATTGCATAGCTATAGGAACAAAATCTTGCAAGCCTGAATGTACTTCTCCCTTCCTAACTTTAGCTCCACTC